TAAGTTAAGTGATTTTGTTGATATAAAGTTAAATTTAATGACTTTGCTAAATATATTTTTAAAGTTAAGTGATCTTTTGAGATATTAACTCCAACGACATTCGTAATCATAAGCAAGTAACTCAGACAACTCCACAACATTAATTACATAATAATTGTAAGATATATACTCATCAACACAACTCGAACGAATCAATATCTACTTGCATATATCATTAGTCAAAAAAACAAAAAAAATAGTATGTATTAATATGATTCATAGGCTACATCAAAATATAGACATCAAATAGGGAATCCCGTAATTACTTAACTCTTTCTATTTTATTATGCATTTTTCGACCACAAATACAATCTTGACATACAATTAGCCAATTTGGTGTCCTTCTCAAGGTTAACATATTATGACTTTGTATGGCTCTTCATTGTCATGTGGACCTTATTTGTATTTATTAAGATTAAGACATGTAAATATAAATATATATTTAATTAATTAAAAATTGTCTTCAGATTTGTACACGAAATAATTTATGTATTTTATTTTTCAATATTTGAATATGCATAACTAATTATTGGTAAACGTAATACATATATAATTAAAACGAAAAAAAAGTAATTAAATATTAAAAATACACAAATTTAATTAAATAAAATTATATTTGATAAGAAAAATGAAACACATATATTCGCTAACGATGGTGGAGATGGTTTCTAATGGCAATGTTTGGTGTTAGTAGCTAGTAATAATGGTGACGGTGATGCTGGAGGTAATTGGTGTTGTAGTGGTTGATGTGATGGCAATGGTTGTTTAGTAGTGGTGGATTGTGATATATGGTGAAGTTTGTTGATGTTAGTAGTTGACTATTGATGAGGGTGGCTGAAGAATGCTTGGTGGTTGATGATCTGATGGTGGTAGTTGACATTGGTGCTAGTTATGATGATGAAGATGGCGACGGTGATAATGACGATTATCATAATGATGGAGGTGGTAGATGTAGTGGCGAATGACAATATTGGTTGGCACCAATGGTGATTGTGATAACATAGGTGGTTGACGATAGTAATGGTAATTGACAATGATAGTGATGATAGCAATGGATATAACTATAATGATTGAGATGTAGATATGATAGTGATTGGCAATGTTAATAGTTGTGATTGTAGAGGTGATTGGTGGTTAGTAATAGTGACGGTGGTGGTAATGATGGCAAGGTGGTTACTAGTGGCAACTTGTAATTGTGCATGTTTATTGGTGGCGACAGATGATTGTGGATGGAGAGTGGTGGTGAAAATCAATTATCTACACAAAATACATTTTATTGATATTAAAACTTTATTCAAGATCGTAATGATTAAGACATTTTCTGATCAAGTAACTACTTAAATCTTAAAGAAAGCACCTGCACTCAATGACCTAAAGTATGAACCATTCAAATCTATTAAGTGCAGTGTATACCTAGATTTTATTTGGTTTTAAATTTTAAAAATCGACAATATTTAATTTTACCAAAATCTAATCAAAGAAAAATCAAAACCAAATCTATAATAAAGCACAAAAAATCTAATTAACATTTCAAGGAGTTTTGTGTTTCTTTAAACAAAAATATAAATAGATATAGAGTGATTGTAATACATGGTAAGATATAGACATCAAATATAGAATTCCGTGATTACTTAATTCTTTCTATTTTATTATATGCATTTCTCGATCACAAAATAATCTTGATACACAATTAATTACTCTCTCTATTCCTAATTGCTTGTCAACTTTTAAATTGACACACTTATTAAGAAAATAATGATTGACATAGTGAGTTTACCATTTTTCTCCTATTAATTATGAAGTGGATGAATTAAAACTTAAGATTTTCAAAAAGTTCTACCTTTTTCAAAGCAATTAATTGAGGGTATAATAGGTAAAAAAAAATTGTTCTTTCTTGATTTGTCAAAATAGACAAGTAATTATAGACAGAAGCAGTAGGTATCATTCTCAAAGTTAACATATTATGACTTTGTATGACTCTTTATGATTGGCATATGGGTTCCTTTTTCTCAATGAATCTTTTGTATCGACTAATAAGACCTTATTTATTTTCATTAAGATAAAGATATTTGAATTTAAAGGAATTTGAATAATTAAAATATTATCTTCAAAATTAATTATTTTTTATTAAGCATAATTTATTTATGAAAGAAGTATTGAAAATATCCTTAAATTTGATACAAATTATTAGTTTCATTCTTAAGCTATTGACAGTCTTTAAAGCATTCTTCTACTTGACTAACTAAGCTTAAATACACATCTGGTCAAATTTAGGGGTGTTTTCAACACTTCTCTCAACTTCTTAATAAAAGTCTTACGTTCCTACAAGAATTTAATACTATTTGCTATATGATGTGACAGATCAGAGTATATTTAAGTTCAGTTAGTTAAGTAAATAAATATTTATAAATATAGAGAAGTCCAGAAACATGAACATGGACCAAAATCCAACCCATCTAAAATTAGAAATAAAAAAGAAATATCGAAAGCCAAAAAACGAAAATGTTACACTATTCGGTACTCTCAAAGAAATTAATTGACGTCTTTTCTTTTTGTTTTCTTTTCTCTTTTTGTCGTTTGTTTCATTAATTTCCTCTCCTTTTTCTGACTTTTATCTCTTTCTCTATTTTTGTCTTTTCTCTTATTTTTTTATTTTTTAAAAATATCAAATAAATTTTTTTAGAGGATTAAGAATATATTTGAAAAAAGTCTATAATAATAAATAATTGAGAGAAAAAATTGAAGTTACTAGTTTATTTATTAAAATCTTAATAAATAATGAATATATTTTATAAAAGATAAATTCTTTTGTGAATAAAAACAAAACTTATTTCTAAAATATGACTCTATTTTTGTTTTTTTTTTTTACAAAGAAAACTAGCAAAAAGTTAATATGTTAAAATTATATATATAAAAAAATTAAGCTTAAACTCTGTTTTTGGTATTTTTATTTAAAAATTTTGTTCTTTTGATTTAATGAACCCGTTGTTTAATTATGATACACTGTCAGTATATGATATATACCATGTGGGAATCATTTTGGGAGTTTTATTTTTTGAAGGAATGGATCAGTCATCTATGATATCATATTAATTTATGATTTATACCATGTGAGTATCATAGAAGACAGCGATACTTTTTAAAGAAATGAACCAATTTTCTCTGATATACTCTATTTGTATACGATTTATATCATATGAGTATCATAGAGGACTGGGATCTTTTCTTTGAAGGGTTAAATCAAGTCATCCATGATATCTTATCAATATATAATAGATCATGTATACAGTCATTCATGATGTCTTATTGGTATATGATACATATACCATTTCTATATCATTGAGGATTGAAGGATTGAGTTGGTTATCTAGGGGTTTAGTGGTTAACATCTTAACTCGTAATGGTTTCTATGGATCTAGAATTAAAACTCTTTACTTTGGAGGAGGTGTTGTACGTGTATGTTGCATTAAGGATTAACCCTTTTGTTGTTACTATTTGCCTTGGTAATAGAATATAGATGTGGCATATTCAAGAGGATGTGTTGTCCGTGTATGTTATTCTCAAATAATATAATGTTGATCAACGAAATGAGTGGTAGAGTTAATGAATTGTTGGAAGTTTGAAGACACACCTTAAAATCTAAAGGTTCATGTTAATTAAGTAGGACTAATAAAGATACATGAAGTACAAGTTTAGTGATTCAAAGCATGAAATGGAGGTGAAAATGAAAGATCAATATACAAGTCATACACAAAAAATAAAGTTTTAAGTATTTTGGTTCTATAATCTAAGGTAACAGGCAGATGACGATGAGGACATACATTATATTGGAGCAAGGTGGATGAAATAGAGGCTCGCCTGTGTGATAATTAAGAATGTATCACCAAAGCTTAAAGATAAGTCTACATATATATATATATATATATAGTAATGGTTAATTAGACCTACTTTATGCACACATTCAGAAGATGAAGGAAGCGGGGATGAGGATACTCATTTGGATGTGTGGGCATACTAGGAGACATAAGATTAAGAACAAGTTTATACAGGACAATGTGGTATTGACATTTGTGGTGGACAAGATAATGGAAGCGAGATTGAGATGGTCCGGATATATGACGAAGAGGTGTGTGAATACATTAGTAAAAAGATGTGAGAGGTTGACTATAGAATGTTTTAGAAGAGGTAAAGGTAGGACAAAGAATAACTAGGTTGAGGTGACTAGACAAAATATGACACATTTTCAACTTGCTTATCAGAACACTAGATAGGAAGGTACAGAGAGACTAATGATATTGATAGAAGAATAAAAGGTATATATAGACAAGTGTTATCGTACTTTTATGTGAGAGAGGTAGGGGTCAGTCTCCTCTTCAGATTTATTGCATAAATTATATATCATGTCTAGCTAGTGAGTCTCAAGTACTAAAGACTTCCCACAATGGTTCTAAAGATAACTTCACCATAAATGAGATTTGGCCAAATACTCTAAATAAAACATTAAACAAATAGAGGTAAGTGAGTTGAAATAATTGAATCTATTTGTGATTGTTCTGAGTTGATATAAGGCAATGTGAATTCATCAAAAATCACAAGTCTTGGAACATACATTCTTCTGGTTGGAAGATGGTATGATCTAAAATTTTGTTCTTCCATTTAAATAGGGGAAAAACCAACATCCAAATATTTTTAGGATACATTTTTCGATGGATAAAAATAGATATCGATGGATGACCGTTGAAAATTTCATATTATTTTTACATATATTGAACATTGGAAATACATATGCAATATAATCTTCAAACACAATGTTATTTATTTCACACGATAGCTAGATAGATAGAACTAGCTAGCCAATATCACACAAAGACACATCTATATATGTGTGCGCAAACATACATATATATATTTTGCATATGTATTAATATGGAAATGAGTCATTGAATAGCATTGATGTTTAATTACTTGAGAAGGTGACCTTCTATTTCTTTTGTCACATGAAGAACATAAGCCAGGGGAACGAGAGGCGCTGGTATATCTTCAGTTTTCTTCTCATACATAAATGTCCGTGTAGTCCATTCATGGTCACATGATGTTATAATAGTGAAGGAATTGTACAACTCTAATAGATCTCCACCAATCGCTTTCCAAGTGATTGTTTTAGTTTCATGATCGACGGCTTCAATCACTTGCTTTGAAGTTTTATCTTTTCCATCTACAATCAATAAAGTCAAAAATATAAGAGATAATAATAGGGTAATCAGTTCGAAAATGATTCATATGTAGAGAGAGGAAAGTGTGTATATGTTACGTCATTATATGTCCAGTTAACAATTGAACCAATTTTTAGGGTTTCGCCTTCATGAATTTCAAAAAAATTTACCTTGTTGGGGCTTATGTTGGATATAGGATGAGTTTTGGCATGAAAAATCTCAAGAACCGAGTGTCCTCCACACTTCACCTCTACTGAAACAACTTTCTTGCATTTTACACCCATATTTCTTTTTAGATATATTATAACAAAAAGCTTTGAAAGGAAGTGGTGCTAAAATGATTAGAAATTGTAATCTTATATAGATTTCAATTAGGTGCACCAAAAGTTATTATATAAATATTATAAAACATGATCCACGACATATCATGAAAGTTTAGCGTTAGGTTGTTAGCCCATTACTGAGAAAATATTTATATCGATCTTATTTTTTATAGTAGGTTTAAAATAAAGAATCTCTTAAGCATTATTTGGGGAGTTTTGATGTTTTAAATTTGTCAAAAGTGAGAATTATTGTCTTCGTCAAATATTTATTAAGCTTTAATTATTACCACATTCAGATCTTTTCTTCGATTAAGCAAAAAGTTTTGATAAGAAAGTGGCAATAAAATTGTTAGAAACTATAGTCTAAAAATATTGACATCAAGGTTGTCTAGGGACTCTTTCTCACGTCATAAAATATATATTTTTTCTTAGCCAACCAAGGTTTTTTAATTCCAGAAATAATATGCCAATATTTGAAAATAAGAGTTTGAATAATTGTATTTGGTCATAAAGTACAAATTATAATTGTTTTTTTATTTTCTGTTGGTAATTTAAAGTGTAAAAAGTTGATACACCTTTTAATTATTTTTTAAAATTCTTAAAAAATCTACATGATTAAACATATTTTTCAGAATTCAACTTAAAAAAAAAAAAAATTAAAAATCATAATCAAACACCTCCTACGTATATACTTATAAAACATGATCCACGAGGGGCACAACATATCATGGAAGATTAGTGTTAGCTGTCTTTCAACATGAAACTTCAACCCATCAACTTATAATAAAAAATAAAAAAACTTATAATTTAAAAACAAAATATGTTGAAGATAAGGTTTACAACTCACAAGAAATTAAATTTAAAATAGTGAAATGTTTCAAACAATAAAAACCTAGAGAAATAAAAAAGAAAGAAATATGGCATAAATTAATTTATCTTAGTCTTAAGTGATTTTGTGAAGGATAGATTAATTAAATAAAATACGTAAGTATTTTTTGGGTCATCCATGTGGATTGATCCAACCTGATCCGACCCATAATTTTACTAAGAAAAAATGGATTGAGATTACATCTTATCTCAATTTCAAAAATAGAGGGAACATATACCAAGTAACTGCTTAATCTCTCTTTACAAATAGTGATAAACAGAAACCTCAAAAATAGATCGCTAAAAAGAGACCTCATGAGGTCGATATTCCACTTAAATCTATACTTTCCCCTATTAATATCAACACAAAGAGACATTTAGCTTGTAGCAATATAACTTTGATTCTTTGAAATTCAAAGTCGGACATGGAGTAATTCTTTAACAAGACTATCAATATTCTGCCACGTGGCAGCCGATAACGGTAGCAGCAACCCAACATGGCAGCTACAGTGTCTTACGCACACGGAGGAATTCCAATTTCTTTAGGCTTCGATTTTGGATTCCTAATCTGCTTTGGACTCAATTATTTTATTTAGGGTTTATTATATCTATAAATAGTCCATAGAAATAATTATGGGAGGTATCAAGAGTAAGGAGGAGACACCTTTTGAAGGGAAAGTCGTCAATACTTTTGAGGGTTCTTTTCTTCTTCTTGTTTTCTTAGACATTAGTAGCTAAAACTCTTGTTCTGGGGCTGTAGCTACGGATTCAATGTTGATTATTTGAGGCTTTATGAATTGATTTTCGGTTGTCAATCCAAATTACTTCTATATTCTTGTTTTACTATTTTATGCTTGCGCACCATAAAATAAATCTAGTGTCTAATCTTAAAATCAAACGAGGAGGGATTAGATAGACCAAGAATATAGAGAGCTCGGTCCACCCATAAGATTGAGGTGATTAGTGTTCAGGAGTGACGCCCAGACGAACACCTTGCTTGGTTACGAAATAGGATGAAATATAAAAGCTCAACAGTTAGTTTATCTATCCCCGCTTAACGATGTAGTTAGATGGCTAATTGGGGTAGGCGGCGAGAGGCGAACCACCCGGACCATACTATCAACCCTATAAACCAGTAATTTGACAACTGAAGTGAATTCTAAGCTAAAAGTATGATACATAAAATCCAATACATGTTGTAGCCCTGAGATTTTCCAACTATTGTAAGTAATTTTATTATTTTGTTCTTGCATTCTTCTCTTTTGGTTCTCTTAACTAAATAAATTAGATCAGTATAATTTAGTAAAAATAGTTAAGTGACATGTCCTTTGGGTTCGATAATCTGGTTCTTTTAAGAGCCACTATATTACTTGCGCGACCGCGTACACTTGCGTGTGAAATTGGGAGCAACAATGGCCCTGGCAGCGTAAGGAAAAACGATGTATCATCACGATAGCTCTTAAGTGATGGTTGTCAGTTAGAGAAACTCTCATAGCAGTATTTTGTATTTTAATATACATCAGAAATATTTGTATTTTCATATACAAACAGAGTTCATATTGTTTTTTTTGCATACATACAGAGTTATTATTGTATTTCTAAATACACAGAGTTGAAAACCATGTTTTAAAGCTTTTCTTTATACTGCATTTATTTACACTGTTTTATATTAAAATCAGTTAAGTTGAGTTGAGTTGAGTTGAGCCAGGTAAGTTCTTCAGTTCCTTTCAAGCTTATGTGTTGTTTTAGATTTCCCATCGCATACTCGTACATTCAATGTATTGATGCCAGTTGGCCTGCATCTTATTATGATGCAGACACAGGTAACCAGGATCAACATGCAGCGCCTCGTTGATCCAGTTGAGCACTCAAAGTCAGTTGGTGAGCTTCCTAGCTTTTCAGATGATCCTTTTTATTGCTTTAAGTATTTTAGTTCATTAGGATGTCGTGAGTCTTGTCTTGACGTCCATCTCAGTTGTCTAGAGGCTTCATAGACAGAGCTAGTGATGTTAGTTCATGAATCTTTACTTTCCCTTTCAGTTAAGTTGAGACTTGAGTTGCCACTTTGGCAGTGAATGTTATTTATTACATTCTAAGTTATTTATTGAGCAGTTCAGTTTGTTTTTTTAAAGTATATTTATCTTGAGTAAAGTCTTCTGTTGAGTAAGTAAGCCAGACAATTTATCTTGAGTAAAGTCTTCTGTTGAGTAAGTAAGCCAGACAAAGGGTTCGTTTGGGGCCAACAATGGTTCTCGAGTGCCAGTCCAGCCCAGGGTGTAGGCTCGGGGCTTGACAAGTACAAGTTTAGTGATTCAAATCATGAAATGAAGGTGAAAAGGAAGATCAATATATAAGCCATACACACACAAAAAAAGTTTCAAGTATCTTGGTTGTATAATCTAAGGTAACATGAAGATGACAATGTGGACATACATCATATTAGAGCAAGGTGGGTGAAATAGAGGCTCACCTCCAGGGTACTCTGTGATAATTAAGAATGTGTTACCGAAGCTTAAAGATAAGTCTATATATAGAGTGATGGTTAATTAGACCTACTTTATGCACACATTCAGAAGATGAAGGAAGCGGGGATGAAGATACTCATTTGGATGTGTGGGCATACTAGGAGACATAAGATCAAGAACAAGTTTATAAAGGACAATGTGGTATTGACATTTGTTGTGGACAAGATAATGGAAGCGAGATTGAGATGGTCCGGATATATGACAAAGAGGTGTGTGAATAAATTAGTAAGAAGATGTGAGAGACCGGCTGTAGAAGGTTTAAGAAGAAGTAGAGGCAGGCCAAAGAAGAACTAGGTTGAGGTGACTAGACAAAATATGACATATGACACATCTTCAACTTGCTTGTCATAACACTAGATAGGAAGGTACAGAGACTGATGATACAAGGATAAAAGGTATAGACAAGTGTTATCGTACTTTTATGTGGGAAAGGCAGGGTCAGTCTCCTCTTCAGATTTATTGCATAAAATATATATCATGTGTAGCTAGTGAGTCTCAAGTACTAAAGACTTCCCACAATGGTTCTAAAGATAACATCACCATAAATGATATTTGGCCAAAAACTCTAAATAAAACACTAAACAAATTGAGGTAAGTGAGTTGAAATAATTGAATCTATTTGTGATTGTTCTGAGTTGACATAAGGCAATGTGAATTCATCAAAAATCACGTCTTGGAACATACATTCTTCTGGTTGAAATATGGTATGATCTATAACCAATAAACACAAGGATATACAAGTTTTTGGTAAAAAATGAATCAAAATGTAAATTTAGAAAGTATTTATAGGTAAAAAATGAATCAAAATATATATTTATTTATTTTTAAAAAAAAAACTTGGGAGTTTAAAATAATTTTGGGAAGTTTGGAGGTGTTTTGGGCTCCATTTTCCAGATATTTTAGTTGGAAAAATAACCATTAGCCTGCTATCGATCTACTACTAGGCCGGTCTACCAAGCTCCCGTGCCTAGACGGCTCAGCCACCAACCCAACCCATGAATCGGGTCAAAGTAGCCGACCCATTCCTAGCCGTGCCGGGACATTACTGGGTCATGCTTATCGGGCTGATATCGAGTTGACCCAGTCCACTTGACTGAATTAACACATGATGTAATAGAAGGGGTCGAAACCAAAGTGTAATTTAAGATTTGAAATTTATGTTAGTGCCCATCTTAAAACTAGAGAAACCTAAAAAGGAGTTGACTACAAAAGAATGAGAATATAATTAAAGCACACTATTAAATATATCATTTTTGTAATAGGTAAGTTTTACTAATATTTTACATATATTGAACATTAAAAATACATCTCTAGAACGAGAGGAACATATGTAATATATTCTTCAAACACAATATTATTTATTTCACACATTAGCTAGCAAGACAGAACTAGCTAGTCAATATCACACAAAGACACACATATATATTTGTGTGTAAACATACATATATATTTTGCATATGTATAAATAGGGCTATGAGCCATTGAGTAGCATTGATTTTTATTACTTGAGAAGGTCACCCTCGATATCTTTTGTCACGTGAAGGACAAAGCCCAAGAGAACAAGAGGCT